GTGGTGATCTACAGTAAATCAACATTAGAAAAATAGTGAGAGCGATGCTCCAGCTGGCTGATTAGCTTAGCCCCATTACTTTTATCTATGTGTTTGGGCTACTTTATATATTTGTGTGACTGAATTTTTTCACCATGAGCCTGTAAGATGTTTGCTCTCAGCCTGAATGAGCTTCACCGCTCAGTCTCAAAGCTGTAGTTCAGGGAGGACAGTCCGTGTGTGGCGATAAAAATACAACAACTAACGGCAGCAACGTCCAGTGTTTGCCCGGCTGATCTGCTCCAACAAATGGGCTTATCAGTGACATCAGTCACCGGCACTTCTCTGATGAGTTGGGAAATTCCCAACAACAAAAAAACAGGAGTGGCGAATTCACTTTTTTTTTGTCACATTTTTTTGTGTGAAACTCAATGAACTACATCTCTTGCACAACAACACACGTCACCAAATAGCCGTCACTACTGTCTTATCAAAAAAGGGATTGACTACCCTCACCACAATGAAACACGTCCAGAAGAATGTCATGCAAAGCTGCCTGCCTGCCTTCCTTTGATTCTCTCTGAACTGCCTGTTCTTTTTAATGTTCAATGTCAACCATTTGTGCAGATAGCATGAAGTAGAACAGATCGCCGGTGCTAATGTAGAGTAGCATTTCTCCCCCGGGCTTAAATGTTGTATTATAGAATGATCACACCGGTGTGACAGTACTCTTCAAAGGGTTCACAAAATAGGACTACTACTCTTACTTTCTAACATGTTGGGTTACTTTAATGTTACTTCATATTAAGGCTAATAAAAATGACAAGGCTGTAATGCTAACTAACGTGCTAGCTACTAGCTAGGTAGCTAACTTTATCCAGCCACTCCTGGTCCTTTCATCAGACGGGAAGCGAAGGAACGAGCAAGACCCATTGCTGGTATGATAACAACCTGGTACTAAGCACACAGGCATCTTGTTAAAGTTATCTTATCTTAGCTATCTCTGAGTGGAGGAAAACAGTTATGACATCACTTACGCGACTCTGGGATTTGTAGTCTTTCTAGTTGCAATTTTTTCATAGTCTTATATTTCAACAGTTTTACGACAAACTCTGACTTTTTTGACATGGAAAATATTTTTTAAGATTGACAAACATAATGTGTAATTCATGGCACAATTTGGGACGGGATCAAAAGATAAGACTTCAATGTATTATTTTTCCGAAATAAGGTCCCATGATGCGGAAGTAAGTGGGCGTGACTTCGCCACTCT